CTTTTCTGGACTGAATGGGGGAGATCCTCAGGAATCTTGGGTGGGCGTGAGACAGAAGCTGAGAAAGGCACTGATCACTCTCAGAATTGGGAGGGCTTTGCGCTCGAAGGCCAGTGCGCTCAAGCTGTCAGGGTCATTTAATTACTGTTTTCCTGCACCTGATTAGGGGATATGAATAGCTGGGGGCACAGGGTTCCCTAAGTCAAAAGGGTAAGCGTGGGAAGGGATTGCTAACGGCCTCCTGACTAGAGGCCATCAGATGGGGCTCAAGAGAAATGAGAAATGGCTGTTTGCCCAAGGTGACTAGACAGCTATGGCACTAACGATCAGGCCAGGCCGCCAGCGCGCGGAGGAGACTGACGGGAGGGAGCACGAGAACAGTTCAGAGACCGACACCAGCAGTCCCCACGGAGCTGGGGAGGCGGCCCTGGGCACTTCCAGGCACCAGCATGGGGCCGTGGTCCTCCACCCTCCCCGCCCCTGGGGGAGGCTGTCAGGGACTCAGGAAGGCAGCTGGGAGTTCACGAAACACTGGAAGCTGAGTGAGCAGATGAGGCCGTGGGAGGAGCGGCCCCGCGGAGCCAGCAGCACATGCAGAGAACCAGACCAGGGAAGAGGAGACTCCACAGACTCAAAGAATCAGAGAGAAAACATCGATTAAGTTTTAAAAAGTTATACCTTGATGGTGGACGTTCGTACAGACAACAGGGGATCATCCACAAGATAGGACAACCCCTACAGGATAACATGCCAACAGAAGATAAAAACACCTTTGATTGTACATTCCGGCATTCCCAAGCTCAGAGATGACGCTCAGTCTCTGGTCCCAGCATTCCAGCCCCTGCTCCCAGCATTCCCCCTCCTGTCCCAGCATTCCCCTGCTCAAACCCCAGTTCATTCCTTCCATCCCAGCATTCTGCCTCTTCTACCCCAGCATCTCTCCCCCAAATCCAGCATTCCATCTCTCTCATGGCAATGTCCCACCCCCACAATCCAACATTCGCCCCTCAAATTCAGCATTCTATTCTACTCTGATGCCAGCATTCCATCCCTGGACCCCCCATATCTTTCTTCAATGCCAACATTCCAGCCCTTCAAACCCAAATAATTTCACCCATTCCACCTGGCACATGCACTTGGAAAGGGCAGTCGGGGCCGGGCCCGTCCCTTTGGCAAGCTCTGAGTCTGAGAGAAATTCTAGATATGCGCATACAGGTTGACTAAGGAATATTTGCTAAGTCTGCAAATGGGTTTCCAGGGCACCTCCCCATTCTGGAAGTCCTCATTGGGCTCCGCTGCCATCCAGTGTCCACATCGACTCATATGCGCCCTCTGACCTCTATCCCCTGCCGGGGAGGCGGGACCTTGGCTGTGGAAAGTTCTGCCTGTGTGCTGAGCCCCTGCCTGCAGTGCGCTGGGGGCAGGTTCAAGACCAGGAAAGGGTTTCAGTTTGTCTCTGGTGTCTCTCCTGCCTTCTCTCCCCTCCCCGCTATTCCTAACACTTCTGTTGCCAAGGGTCCAGGGTGGCCCACTGCCCTTCCTTTCGGTCTGGTGGTGAGGCACAGGCATCATTCCACATTCTGCTTATGTCGCCCGAAACCATGCCTCTATTGGCAATAAACCGATCAGAAGTGAACGCCCTGGAATGGCTGGTGACTAGCGGAAGTGGTCCCAATAAGATCCCTGCTTAGGGAAATTCAGGTGCTACCTCCTTGATTCCCTGTCTCATGTTGCAAGAGGAATGTAGGGGGCAAAGGCCCACAGGGCATCTACCTCGCACCAGGGTAGGCCCACACTGACATTCGTCTCTGCGGTCCATAGCAACTCCTGGACATTCTGCCTTGGCTTTGAAGACGATGCCCATTAGAGCCGGAGACTGACAGGCAGAGCCCTTAGCTTCAGCCACGGAGAACGGGCCGTGGGACGGGTGCAGGGTGGGGAGAGGCCTGGTGAGGCCTCAGTGCGCACAGGGCAGAGCTGGCCCTACCTCGGTGACTGCCCACTCCTCGGGGGCCTCCTCCCGAGGGTTGAGAGAGACCTCATCACTGCTTTTGACTCTGAAGGGGACAGACTTTGACTTGGGAAGCTGGGCCAGCTTGAGGATGTGAGTTCTGACCCCAGAAAGGGGGGTGCGGGGGCGAGGGCGTGGCAGGGGCTGGGACTCACAGTGGTTTTCTCCAAGCAGTGCAGCAGGTGGTGGTGCTGGCTCTCGATGAGCGAGGTGGTCTTGCCCACATGCTCCTCCTCCGGGGTGCCCTGTGAGATGAGAGACGAGGATAGAGCTGCGAGCCTTCCTCTCCACCCTCTTCATTTCCCCACAGAGGGCAAGAGGGCACTAGAAAAATCTGGGCGAACCAAATTTTAGGGTCACCATAGCACATGCCAGCCTTTGGGCTGGGGGTCCTTGGGCTAAAGCTGGTTTAGGGGTCGTGGTGACAATCCCATGGGAGAGGTATGTGCAAGGGGCTGCTACCTGGGGACCGTTTGGAAACATGTCCATCTCAGGGTTCAAACTGGGGCTTTGGGAGGGAGTGCTGGTGCCCCTGCATGAGAAAACAAGCCCACCATCCCCTCCACCTCCCAGCCCGGGGCCCCCCAGGCACCGCCCCCCCCCCATCTCCCATCTCTTCCACCTCCCAGCCGGGGTCCCCCAGGCACCTC